GGCAACGCCGGGTGCTTCCCGCTTAGTAGTAAATAAAGCGTCAAATTTTAAAGGAAGGTAAATATTTTCACTTACCTCGAGTCCCGACGGTGGCTCGCTCGTAGTGAGGGGTGAAACTTCGACGCCGCCGCCGCTCTCTGTCGTGGTAGGATCGAGTACAAGCGAGACGAACAAACCAAGCGAGCCAAGCGAACCGGCGGCCCCGACCGCGTGATTGAATGCACGGAGAAAGAGGAGGAGGTGGAGGTGGAAGAGGAGGTGGAGGGTGAAGAAGACGGCGAGGGGAAGCAGCACAACGAGCGGTGGAGGATCAAGACGGACGGCCTGATGGTGGCCTACACCCTCCAGCTGCTGGCCCGCACGCTGGCCGAGGTTGGCTTCCTGGTGGGGCAGTACCTGATGTACGGCGTGGAGGTGGCCCCGCGCTTCAAGTGCGTCCGTGACCCCTGCCCGAATAGCGTCGACTGCTTTGTGTCGCGCCCCACAGAGAAGACCGTCTTCCTTCTGGTCATGTACGCAGTCGCCGGTCTCAGCCTCCTGCTCGAACTGTCCGAGATTGCCTACCTGGGGCTGGGCACCATCCACGACTCGCTGAGCGGGAGGCACCGGCCACGGAGCAGGTGGGGGGCCTCGCCGGCGCGGTTGGCATTGCGTCACGTAAACTAAACGTGCCGGGCCGCTACCGGCTCGACACTCGCCGGCTGTGTGTCAGAGAGCGACCCCCAACTACGCCGACAATTCGAGTTTCCGTGATGTTTCGCCGATGATGACAACAGCAAAAAAACATCATGGGACCTCCCTTGCCAGTAACAAAATATAAGAATTGGTTTTACCCTTTCTAGTAATAAAACAGCTGTGTGAACATGATAACACCAAACGTAAACCTCTTGCAAGGAATCATCTCACTGCATTGGCCACGCACACGGTACTTGTAATGAACATGCAAACAGAAAAAAAACATGCTCTGGTAGTCTACGAGATGATGATGATGCATTGTCTTTGAAACTGATTGTTCCACACCAGAGACAGCTTTCTTTAGAGCCTCGTGTGTCTCACCCCGAGCTGTCAATGTCTTCGTAGTGGCATTGTCCTCTCATCTAACACTGTTTGAGACTAGGCTCTAAACAAAGCTGTCTCTTATTCTTGGTTCTTTCGGTAAAGTCACGTGGAAGGGAAATAATAACGGTTCCGTCAGCTTCCCAACCGCTATATATAGATGTTGTGTATAGTTTATAGTGTAGTGTATAATGTAGTGTATGTGTTGATATCTATGTATATAGATGTTGTGTATAGTTTATAGTGTAGTGTATAATGTAGTGTATGTGTTGATAGCTATGTATATAGATGTTGTGTGTAGTGTATAGTGTATAATGTAGTGTATGTTTTGATAGCTATGTATATAGATGTTGTGTGTATTGTATAGTGTAGTGTATAATGTAGTGTATGTGTTGATAGCTATGTATATAGATGTTGTGTATAGTTTATAGTGTAGTGTATAATGTAGTGTATGTGTTGATAGCTATGTATATAGATGGTGTGTATAGTTTATAGTGTAGTGTATAATGTAGTGTATGTGTTGATAGCTATATATATGCTGTGTGTAGTGTATAGTGTATGTGTTGATAGCTATGTATATAGATGTTGTGTGTGTAGTGTATACTACAATGTAGTGTATGTGTTTATAGCTATGTATATAGATGTTGTGTTTGTAGTGTATAGTGTAGTGTATGTGTTGATAGCGATGTATATAGATGTGTGTAGTTTATAGTGTAGTGTATGTGTTGATAGCTATGTATATAGATGTTTGTAGTTTATAGTGTAGTGTATAGTGTAGTGTATGTGTTGATAGCTATGTATAGATGTTGTGTGTAGTGTATAGTGTAGTGTATGTGTTGATAGCTATGTATATAGATGTTGTGTATAGTTTATAGTGTAGTGTATAATGTAGTGTATGTGTTGATAGCTATATATATAGATGTTGTGTGTAGTGTATAGTGTAGTGTATGTGTTGATAGCTATGTATATAGATGTGTGTGTAGTGTAGTGTATGTGTTGATAGCTATGTATATAGCTGTTGTGTGTGTAGTGTATACTGTATAGTGTAGTGTATGTGTTGATAGCTATGTATATAGATGTTGTGTGTAGTTTATAGTGTAGTGTACAATGTAGTGTATGTGTTGATAGCTATGGATATAGATGTTGTGTTTGTAATGTATAGTGTAGTGTATGTGTTGATAGCGATGTATATAGATGTGTGTAGTTTATAGTGTAGTGTATGTGTTGATAGCTATGTATATAGATGTTTGTAGTTTATAGTGTAGTGTATAGTGTAGTGTATGTGTTGATAGCTATGTATAGATGTTGTGTGTAGTGTATAGTGTAGTGTATGTGTTGATAGCTATGTATATAGATGTTGTGTATAGTTTATAGTGTAGTGTATAATGTAGTGTATGTGTTGATAGCTATATATATAGATGTTGTGTGTAGTGTAGTGTATGTGTTGATAGCTATGTATATAGATGTGTGTGTAGTGTAGTGTATGTGTTGATAGCTATGTATATAGCTGTTGTGTGTGTAGTGTATACTGTATAGTGTAGTGTATGTGTTGATAGCTATGTATATAGATGTTGTGTGTAGTTTATAGTGTAGTGTACAATGTAGTTTATGTGTTGATAGCTATGGATATAGATGTTGTGTTTGTAGTGTATAGTGTAGTGTACGTGTTGATAGCTATATATATATGTTGTGTATATTTTATAGTGTAGTATATGTGTTGATAGCAATGTATATCGATGTTGTGTGTGTAGTGTATAGTGTAGTGTATGTGTTGATAGCTATGTATATAGATTTTGATTTAAAGCTTTTGTGACTGCAGTAATTCATATTCTTAGCTCTTTCGGTAAAGTCACGTTGAAGGGAAACAATAAAATAATAAAATATATATAAAACAATAAAAATTCTCACGACGTTTCGACCATAACACAAACGGTCGTCATCAGGTGTGTCGGTTTGCATAAATTTTTTTATTTTTTTACAGTGTCTTTATTTATTTTAAGAAAAACGTCAGCGCCACGCGCAGCGATTTGGCAGTTTATTTAGAAGGACGAGTCCATCTATGTTCTGAAAAGAGGAGGGGGGAGACGAAAAATTAATGTATGCTGTCTGAAAGCCACTGTAAGCGTGAACAATCAATTAAGACCTGAAATGGTTAATCAAATCTTTCCAATGATTGCTAAGCCAGAATCCATCTTCTCGGTTGGAATTGTCTCTGTGCTTGTATATGTGGATAGCCTCATGAACGAATCTCTCATGGTAGCCAGATGGCTTACAAAGAACCTCTGTCTTGGAAAAGTCAATGTCATGTGAGCCTACTGAATTATAACAATGATCTGCCACGGCCGAGGTGTTGGTCCTACGGTGTTTAAGGTCTGCTTTGTGTTCACGGATGCGGTCCGAGACGTGGCGTTTGGTTTCTCCAATGTAACTACTACCACAGAGGCAACTTAGTTTGTAGACACCAGGGTACTGTATGTCCGGAATCACTTCTTTTACAGACGGAACCAGATCACGGATTTTATGTAATGTGTTGAAACGGACCTGGATCTTGTGTTTATTCAAGATTTTAGAGATCTTTTTTGTGATCGCCGCAATGTAGGGTAAAGTGATGGTTTTGAAAGGCTCCTCAAGAGGGTCCTTCATGGTTTCAGTGATAGCTTTGCGGATTGTATAGTCGGAGTAACCATTAGCCTTAAGAACTTGGTGTACGTGCTTGAGTTCACTGACTATGTGTTCCTGGTCGGATATGCATTGGGCTCTATGGTACAGAGTCTTGATGAGAGAATTCTTCTGTGATGGATGGTGGTGGGAATCCGGTTTTATTGTTTTATATATATATTATTATTTTATTGTTTCCCTTCAACGTGACTTTACCGAAAGAGCTAAGAATATGTATATAGATGTTGTGTGCACTATACACTGCACTATACACTGCACTATACACTACACTATACACTGCACTATACACTGCACTATACACTACACTATACACTACAATACACTGCACTATACACTGCACTATCCACTGCACTATGCACTGCACTATACACTACACTATACACTGCACTATACACTACACTATACACTGCACTATTCACTACACTATACACTATACACTGCACTATACACTGCGCTATACACTACACTATACACTACACTATACACTACACACTACAGTACACTATAAACTACACTATACACTACTATCCACTGCACTATACACTACACTATGCACTGCACCAGACACTACAGTATACACTACACTATACACTACACTATACACTACACTACACACTACAGTACACTATACACTACACTATACACTACTATCCACTGCACTATACACTACATTATGCACTGCACTATACACTACACTATACACTACACTATACACTGCACTATACACTACACTATACACTATACACTGCACTATACACTACTATACACTACGCTATACACTACACTATACACTGCACTATACACTACATTATGCACTGCACTATACACTACACTATACACTACACTATACACTGCACTATACACTACACTATACACTATACACTGCACTATACACTACTATACACTACGCTATACACTACACTATACACTACACTATACACTACTATACACTACACTATACACTGCACTTTATACTACTATACATTACACTATACACTGCACTTTATACTACACTATACACTGCACTATACATGCGATATAACCAAAAAACCCTCTATCATGGAGAGTGTATATATATTTTTTGTTAATGAAAATACTCTTATTGAAATTCGACTCGTTTCTAGGGTGGCAGATGCTGTCGAGCCGGAGTCCACGGCGGGTCCCAGAGCGACGTCACCATCGGAATTGTGGCAGCTCCGTGACGAGGTGAAGGAGCTTCAGACGGAGCTGGGGGCGACGCCGAGGGCCCACCAGGAGCCCCCCGAGCAGGCCGCTGGCGGCGCCTCCCACGGCGTGGACGCGCCCCACGACCTGCACGTCTTGATTTAGCGGGATAGTTTTACTCTCGGGCGTAGGTTATCGCTCAAATCGCTTTTTGCCATCCCACGTTCCATTTACTCGGCCCCCCAATGCCCCGCCGCCGTTTTGATCGTCTCGACTTTGGAGGTTTTCTTGACATTCTTCCGTCAAGATTCAATCGGAGGCGACCGTTTGCGCTTTTAAGATTCGAGCGGCAGAGCGCGGGCACCCCGCTAACGCGCTCGCGACGGCACGGGGGGCACGCCAGCACCCAGCCTCGTGGCTCGGGTGATACGGCGCTGGGTTTGTAACCCAGAGCATTTAGAGTTCAAATCTCCTTAGAACGCGTTTTGTGTGACATCGTGGCTTTCGCATTCGGCCAACGTATAAACGCACGAGTTGGGGGGAATGTTTGCGTGAGGGTTTGTAATCAATATGGAGGTGTGTTTTGATTAAAGAAACCCAAATATTTTTGTTACTTTAGCTTACTTCTTAATTTGCGTGAGTTTCTGTTGTCATTTTTTGTTAAACTTCCTCACTCATCAGTGGACAAGAGGGCCCGAGTTTAGCGGGCACGTCGTTATTATACCGTAACAGCCTGCTCCGATTTATATTGACAAAACAAAAGGCGTTTAAGGTGTTGGCTATGCCAACAGTGGATAACCTGGAGTTCTGCATTAATTTTGTGCAGTGTTTGAAAGCTATTATTCATCATTAGACCTCCTTTGCCAGTACCAAAATGTAATGATAGGGTTTTTCCCCTTTTTTCTGGCAACAAAACTGAAACCTTTTTACGAGGATTCATGTCTGCATTAACCGCAATACCTGCAGTCAAAATGCAAACAAAAAACCTACTATGATAATATATGCATTGTCCTTGAAACTGATTGGTCCACACCAAGGGACGGCTTTCTTTTGAGCCTCGACCCAATTGGTGCTCGACCAGATGATGCCAAAAGGCGTACAGCTCAAAGACAATGCACTCATTATTTTGATAGTGCATTGTCTTTAGCAATCAGGTTAACTTTACATTTGGTTGACATTGTCGCGGCAGAAAAAAAAAACAGTCATGTTATCTACAAGGTCCCAATCAGATGTGGACATTTTATCTGTTAATGCTAAGTGTGATTGTAAGAGACATTTGTCTAAATTATCAAGTTCAAAACGGAGCAGTCTTATCCTCTCTGATATTAGCGATAGGCTAGCTTACGAGAAGTGACAGCGGCAGATGCGAGTCTAAATGCGATCGGTATTACCTTAGTTGATACATTCGTAATGAACTGCACAAGAGGTCAGAGATGAGCACGATGGTCAGAGCTACTTTAACTACAGCAGCTGCTGGACCTTACGATGTGCTCTGATGAGGATTCGTGTGAACATCGTGACCGCAGGAGGCGAATGATGACTGACCAGCACTCGGTTTGACCCCGTGGTAGACACAGTGCACCACGGGTGGATGACATAAGTGGTGGGGAACCACAAATAGCGTGGAGTGCTGACCATAGCTGCGTTGCACGTTGCTCGATGGACATTTTCGGAAAGGCGATGACAGATGAATCAATCTCTGTCCAATTTGCCGGTAATGGCACATGCTGCTAATCGTTTGCCCAGACAATTCTGTTGTGGGAGAACAGATGCAATATTAGATTTACGGTGACAAAAAAAGATGTACACATCGCCTATGTTTTGAAAACTAAGAAGTTAAACTTTTTTCAGTGCAAGCAGCAGTCATATTAAGACTTGCCATCATACTTATTGACAGCGACCAAGTCAACACTGGTGTCAAGGCAATGGTCTGATGAACCTGAATGCTTTTGGCAGCAGCTCACTGCGCAGCTCCTCTGTTGACTGAATAAATAGCCTTGGTGTGTGGACTCAAAAATAAAATTGGCATATTTCACCAAATCTGGATGTCGCCTGATGAAGCTAATTGTAATTACTGGCGAAACGTCACGGTACTCAGACTGTAAATGTTGTGGCTTGGCTCTCCAACACACCGGTGTGCTGTACTAGTATACTACACTATACACTACACTATACACTGCACTATACACTACACTATACACTACATTATACACTACTATACACTACACTATGCACTATACTACTATGCATTACATTATACACTACTATGCAATACACTATACACTACACTAGACACTACACTATACACTACACTATACACTACTATACACTACACTATACACTACACTATACACTACTCTATACACTACTATACACTACACTATACACTACACTATACACTACTATACACTACACTATACACTACTATACACTACAATATACACTACACTATACACTACACTATACACTACTACACACTACACACTAGTGCTGTACTATACACGAATTGGCCACGTTCTGTTTACGTGACCACCCTTACTGGTTGGCTGTGTCGGGTGGTGGCGGGTTTAACGACACATTTGTATATTTACGCGTTCTAACCCCCAAAAACACCTCTGTTGTGGATGATATTGGTCGTGAAAGCCTCCTAAGCGTTAATTCAACTACATTCTTATTATTTGGTTCTTTCGGTAAAGTCACGTAGATAGAAAAAAAAATAAAGTGAAGAAAAAAAACTTTAATAGTTTCTATCTACGTGACTTTACCGAAAGAAACAAAAGAATGTGAATGTTTCTGCGGTCACAAAAGTTTCGAGTCAAAGGTTTACATTCTGTGTATATAATTGCAACGGACTGTTCTGTTCTGCAGGTAAATTGCCCGGCTGCGTTGAGGGCTCCGACAACATCGCCCAGAATGCAGCTTGAGCGCTGCTCTGCTCAGAGTGACCTCAGCACGCGGCTCGTGGCTGTTGGGGAAGCTGCCGCCGGGGACTGCCGGTGCGAGGGAATTCACGCGCGATACTCAGGCCGTCCACGAGGCGGCAGCCACGTAGCCCTGCGTCGGGATTCCCTCGTTCAGTTTCAGTTCCATTAATTTGGTGTATAGCCCCCTGTGAGCCATTCGGCTCTTGAATCGGGTGCAACCGCAACAAACTAAAAAAACAAAAACACGAACGAGAAAAACATCTTAAAGTGACTTTGTGTGACTGTGCAAACAGAAAATCCAGGAAAAAAAAACATCAAAATTTTCCTTGAAAAAACACCGTACACCAACGCTGTGTGCAAAAATCCCAGTGGGATGCAAGTCACACTCGTCAAAATAAAGATCCCCCCCCTGTACAGCCTTATAGGGATGTTGGAGAAAATGCCCTTAGCTATAGCCGCATTCATATTCTTAGTTTTTTCGGTAAAGTCACGTTGAAGAGAAACAACAAAATAACAAAATATATATAAAACAATAAAAAATTCTCACGACGTTTCGACCATAACTCAAACGGTCATCATCAGGTGTGTCGGTTTGCATAAATTTATTTTGAAAACGGCATATTTATTTATTTATATATATAAAATAACGTTTGCGTCACGCGCAACGATTGGCTGTTTGCCAGGACTAGTCCATCTATTTTTTGAAAAGAGGAGGGGGGAGACGAAATTTGTTTTTATGTATGCTGTCTGAAAGGCACTGTAAGCGTGAACAATCAATCAAGAACTGAAATGATTTATCAAATCTTTCCAATGATTGCTAAGATAGAATCCATCTTCTCGGTTGAAATTGTCTCTGTGTTTGTATATGTGGATAGCCTCATGAACGAATCTCTCATGGAAGCCAGATGGCTTACAAAGAACCTCCGTCTTGGAAAAGTCAATGGCATGTGAGCCTACTGAATTAGAACAATGATCTGCTACGGCCGAGGTGTTGGTCCTACCGTGTTTAAGGTCTGCTTTATGTTCACGAATGCGGTCCGAGATATGGCGTTTGGTTTCTCCAATGTAACTACTACCACAGAGGCAACTTAGTTTGTAGACACCAGGGTATTGTATGTCCGGAATCACATCTTTTACAGACGGAACCAGATCACGGATTTTATGTAATGTGTTGAAACGGACCTGGATCTTGTGTTTATTCAAGATTTTGGAGATCTTTTTTGTGATCCCAGCAATGTAGGGTAATCTGGCTTCCATGAGAGATTCGTTCATGAGGCTATCCACATATACAAACACAGAGACAATTTCAACCGAGAAGATGGATTCTATCTTAGCAATCATTGGAAAGATTTGATAAATCATTTCAGTTCTTGATTGATTGTTCACGCTTACAGTGCCTTTCAGACAGCATACATAAAAACAAATTTCGTCTCCCCCCTCCTCTTTTCAAAAAATAGATGGACTAGTCCTGGCAAACAGCCAATCGTTGCGCGTGACGCAAACGTTATTTTTATATATATAAATAAATAAATATGCCGTTTTCAAAATAAATTTATGCAAACCGACACACCTGATGATGACCGTTTGAGTTATGGTCGAAACGTCGTGAGAATTTTTTATTGTTTTATATATATTTTGTTATTTTGTTGTTTCTCTTCAACGTGACTTTACCGAAAAAACTAAGAATATGAATTACTGCAGTCACGAAAGCTTTAAATCAAAATTTATAGCCGCATTGTTAACATACATTTCAATTGGCCTCACTTCTCAAAAAAATGTTGATCAGTGCCCATCTCTGTCACCAGCCCTGAGCTCGTGATGGAAATTCAACATTCACATTGTGTGAACAAGTCTGCCCGTAGGACAGACAGATCTTGTACAGACAATATAACGTAGTGCCTTCTTACTCTGCCAATTATTTAACACAACATAGATAACTTTTTCGGTTTATTTTTTTTGGCAATTATTTTTTTCTTTTCATTTGTATGGGCTTCAGAGTTCTACTGTCAACAACTTGTTTCTTGTGATTTTCTGTTTGTACTGGGGAATTTGTCATTTTATAGGAGCATTTAATTGGAAGTTACACTGGTACACACAGGCACATTGCGGGTTGATAGAGAGGAGCCTGTATCGGTTCAGATGTCACTCGCCACTGACGTTAAGCCGTCGCTGGGAATCGAGCTCATGTCCTCTGGAGTCGTAGCCACAGCTCTACTCAAAGCAGTGTAGTATACAGAAATC